TTCAATCCATTTGGATAATTCCTCGAAGAAAAAAAGTGACAAAATTGATTTTGACTAGGGTCGCCCCTAGTCCAAAATTGAAAATGTATTTCCTTCTTGGTTCTTTGCTCAAAAAATTTTTAGAATGTTTTATTTGTATTTGTTTTGAACACTTGAGCATTTATGCAAAGTTTCAATCCATTTGGATAAACCCTCGAAGAAAAAAGTGACAAAATTGATTTTGACTAGGGTCGCCCCTAGTCCAAAATTGAAAGTGTATTTCCTTCTTGGTTCTTTGCTCAAAAAATTTTAGGATGTTTTATTTGTATTTGTTTTAAGCACTTAAACATTTATGCAAAGTTTCAATCCATTTGTATAAACCCTCGTAGAAAAGAAGGTGACATAATTGATTTTGACTAAAGTTTTTTGGATGTTTTATTTGAATTGACATAATTCTGACATAAATCACATACCAATATTACTTTTTGTAATGCATAGCTTAAAAAAAATCGAAATCTAAAATTTCGACTACCCCATCTGAATTTTGTTCATACTCTTCACTGTGGAAACCAAAAAACAAATTCTTTATCTTAAAACACTTGACAAAATAGCGACATAATTCAGGATTAATTACTTTTTAATAATATTTTAACATTTACGAGAAAATGTGGTTCAAATAAGTGTGAAGTATGGCCGAGATTTGGACCAAAATCAGCTATACTGGTTCATAGTGTTCCCGAGGGTGACAAAATTCAAACTAAGTGTTTTTGTAGCTGACATAATTATGACATAAATTAGGTATAACTTTTAAACTGTGTCGATATGGGTCTCGGCCGTACTTCACGCCCACCCTTCAAACTTATGCTGAGCAAATTTTGTTTTGATTAGTTTTTGTCCAATGAATCCAACAAAATCAAATATAAGTTTAACATAATTAAATGATTTAATAACCTTTTAATTAATCTATGCCTCCGTGTGAGACATGAGTATGATTGAAAATTATTACAAAATACAAAATGTTGACTAATGAAGATGGCACATGACGTGTAACAAAATCTTTGAATATCAAATTGTAATGTATTTACTTTCAAGCCATTTATCATAGCGTATTTAAATTTATGAGATTTGTCTGCTCAGGAGAAATTAATGTTGCTCTGCATATTGTTACTTACAATTGAATCGTTTCGTTCTTTTTTTTCACTTGTTCATTTGAAACACTATTAGATTTATGATTAAAATGTCATATTTCGTTATTTTTGTTGCTGATTCTGAAGTGAGTGTCTGGCAATGATCCAAAAATAAAACAAGATTAAAGCCCATTAAGTGTCAAAACAGCACTATAAATCCTTTGAAGCATTGCATAGAAAGGGAAAGTGCAATCTGAACGACAAAATATATGCTCTCTTTTATTTTATATACATGGAAACATATACGAACAGATTTGTTTTAATTTTTCTTTCTTTTGTACATTCATTTCCAACCATCATGAGACAATTTATTTTATTTCGCCCGCTGCTACTCGAATTGAAAATCTAAATGAATATAAACAGTGTTTTTATATGCTTCTCTTCTTCTTTTTCATCTTTTATTCATTCTCTTTTGGAACAGCATCACTAGTGCCATAATGTGTATACAAATAAACATATTCTCGTGTGCGGTTTTAGCATGCAATGATAAATTCTTTTACATTTTCTCCATGACATGACTTTTGACTTTGGACCACTTTAGACTTATTCTTTTTCTTTCATTCGATACATACAAACTTAAAATTATGCATCATAATCAAAGCATGAAAGTTTTTTGTTTCTCCTAATGTTTTTATGCTTCTAGCTCCTTTGAACTTCAAATATTCACACATATTGCAAATTTGGTGTGAATATGATAATTATTTGAACTTTATATAAATTAATTGAATGGGGCTCAGACAAATATAGAAACTTATATGGATAACTTTACTGTTTGGTTGTAAATTAGTTCCAGTGTTGCATTCTGGCGATTTGTCTGGATCAGATAAATTCTGAGACAGAAATTTCTTCATAAAGATCGATTCTATGTGAAGATAGAAAATCTAATCTACACAAAGATTATTTCTACATAAAGACTCTGTCTACATAAAGATTCGATGTAGATGTCTACAATTCTACATTCTTCTCTGATGTAGACCTAGAAAAAATGTAGAATTGTAGACATCTTCATCGAATCTTTATGTAGACAGAATCTTTATGTAGAAATAATCTTTGTGTAGATTAGATTTTCTATCTTCATGTAGAATCGATCTTTATGAAGAAAGTTTCTTAGCTAGACGAAAACTATTGAAGAATCTACATTCTTCATCTAGTGTAGACATCTACATTTGCAATACTGATTAGTTCTATGCATCCCAAAAACTAGTAAAAGAAAAAAAATCATTTTAAAATTTTGATAAAATTTTGTTGTTCACACCACATTTATCTTCAGTCTACAATACGTGGAAATTGAAAAGTATTTCGTTTCTCCACTCCAAATGTACTTCTTAAAATTCATATTTGAAAATATTTCACGTTAACTATAGTTATATGTTAAGATTAATGTCGTTTCATCTTCTCCCTTAAATTATGCCAATGCATTAGTTGCTACTCACTTACATTTCGTGGTCGGATTTTTTGTAAAGAAACAAACAAAAATTCTAAACGACAAGTTAATTAAAATTCTGAAAAAAATGTTGTCATCTGGAGTCACATTTTTGAGTCATTCATTGAGGAGAAAATCTAAAAAGAAATAAAACTTAATTCTTGATAAGACTGGAATAAAGAAGAGTCATAAAAAGTTTCTTTCTCAAAAAAAAAAAATTGTAAAAAAATTCTTAATTCGAGATGAAACTTCTATTTTTAACAAAGAAACACATGAAAATAAAAGAGGAAGAAGAAGAAAACTATTTTACACCTCGTTTGCTGTATACTTTTTTGAAGAGAATCTATATTATATAATATACATGCACTTCAAGACATTCATGCTGCTTTTCAGAGGTGAAAAAGATATGTATGAGAGTGGTTGATGAATAATAATGATTAACGAGAAGAGAATATAAAGCGTAAAAGAATGTGGAACTGTTTAGGAAATTTATAGTTTACTCATTAATGGGTTTAATGGAGTAGTCTCTACGTACTAAATTAAGTTCTTAAATAAGAAAAGAAATCTATCCACCTCTTCATTTTAGGCGTACTTATCATTTCACAGTCTATTAAAGAAAAATCTTATTTAAATTTCTTTCATAGGAGATTCTACATAAATGACGTCTACCGAAAAACAGGAATATTAGCATTCATGTCCACATTTTACTTTTCAATTAAGTGTCAGGCAACATTAGACCGTCTTCTTCTTAAATCTTAGACATCTTTTATGAACAACTCCTTCCTCTTTCGATTGAACTCGTTAAATTATTGATTGTTCTTGAGACTATTATTGAGACGATATTACTTTTCATAATCGTATTGACCGCTCCAAATTAAGCAATAAAAAAAAAACAAAGAATACAAGACACAATAAAGCATAGGCGAGGTGTGTTCAAAATTAATGATTGCGCGGTCATAAAGTAAGTTATTATTTTATCATCAGTCGATATAAACAAAAACATATGCTTATATTTTGTTACCTTTCATTCAAGTCTGATACACTACAATGTTTTTCATGTTTTATGTGTACCGAAAAAGAGAAACACCTAAAAGTTGACTTGTGGTCTGCTAAAATTTAAAGCGCATTTTTTTTTTGAAAAGCAAAAACTTTCAGAATTACTGAAAAATCACCAAACATTTATTTAACGCAGTGAATGAGTAGCAACCAGACAGACACACATTAAACAGAACAGCTTATAAACAAAATTCCTTTCTCGATTAAATGTGCTGCCTGAAGATATGACAAAAAACAGTTGCAGAAATGACAAATGAGAATGATTAATTTGCAGATTTGTAAAATTTATAAAATTAGTACGAACTTGTGTTACACTTGTTAAAAATGTCATGCTTTATGTCGCTTTTCGGCGGCAACTGATGGGTTTTGTCATTCAAAGAATGTGCACGGTATGTGATATTAACCAATCTTTTATAGCGTATTTAGATTAACATGTCTATAAATTCATTAGAGAAATTCTTTAATCTATCGTGAATTATGATTATTGACGGAAATTTTTTTAAATAGTTTCGACAACGTGTTTGCGTTCATAAACAATTTTTTTTTCTTTTCAACTTTGGTCATTTGAAATTAATGTCAATAGTTTCTGGTAAGGATGGAGGAAAGGGTGAAACATTATATAAAAATCTTGGTAAAAATTTAAAAACAAGGTCTTGGGCAGGAAGGGGTGGGGGTGTATAAACTAATTTTTATTTTAGTGGAGGTAGTTTTACGCTTAGAATAATTGGTTTTATATTTAAATGTTTTTTGGTTTTATATTTAAATGTTTTTGAAGTGGCTCGGTGGCGGAATGGTTTAGTACATGTGTACCTAATTATTGCAATACCGGCACAGCGATCATGGGTTCGAGACTGGGTATGAGAAATTTTTCACTTGTTCTTTTTCGAATCATATGTACTGGAAATGGGGCTCACAGCCTTCCTTTGTAGGCTACAGGCAGAAATGTCAGCAAAGGAGTGGTTCGGATCCCACTATAAATTGTAGGTCTAGGCTTGAGTGCAGTGGTTTGGCTCATCCTCACTCGTTAAACTCTCATTAGCTGCGAAACGCCCTAGCGCACCTCTGGATCACAATTGATCTGAATAGGTAAAGATTTTTTTTTTATTTAAATGTTATATGTAATTGTAGATGCTGATTGATGTCCACAAATTGTTATTTAATAGAGCAGATTCGATTGATAAATTAAATAACGAATGAGTGAATATGATATGTTTGTTATGAATAAAATGAGAGAATTTTAAACATATCGAAAATTTAACGAAGAATTTTGTCAGTGTGTATGTACTGTATGCGGCTTATGAAGTCAGTTGAAAAATTTCTTTCCAATAAGATGGACGTATAAATTTTTTTGTCTATACATTTTAATTAATTTCTTAGTGAAAACTTATTAAAAATTATACAAAAGATTATTTATCAGGTGGATAAATGCATTATTAAAGGAATTCGTTTAAAAGTTCAGTGAAAATTAACAAAAAATCGTTATTAAAAATCTTAATAAGTTTGTGCAAGAAAAAAAAGGAAAAAAATTAACGCCATATAAAATCGATGAATGGAGAGATTAAATGAAAAGCAAAAATATACCTCATTTCTTCTGCATTAGTTAAACAGATATATTTGTTCTTCAAAACAGAAAAAAATAATAATTTCTTCCAAGGCAAGCAACTTTTTCCAACCCATTTTTATTATAACTTTACGTGATGTGATATATACAAAAAAAAAGTCATGTATTCACATATATGAATACAAAAAAAAATATGAATATTAAATGATGAAAATAAGCCTTATAGGAAACAAATGTTCACAGGCCATTAGTAATTTTTACTTTTATGTTCTTCATATTTTTCATTTTCAAAATTTTAGCGCATTTTCCTCATCTGGTTTGACTCAAAAACTCGTTTTAGCATTAATAAGTTGTGCTTCGTATGAGTCAAAAAGTGTTTTGTTGATAAACAAAATTTATACCTTTTGGGTCATAAAAATGTCTTTCATGTACTTTAGTGTTTGTGTCACAGAAAATGCGTTAAAGTAACATACTTACTATTGATTTATCATTCATTGCCGTACTTTTTAATGGGATGCTGTAAAATGAACTTCATAAATAATAACTCTTTTTATAGTGCTGATTCATATGCAAATTTTCTATAATAATAAGAAGTTCACTTGACGTTAATCCATTTCTGTTCTTAAAGCAATTACAGTTGATTAAGAATAATCAAATTTAACATGCTTCGGGATTCATAAAATTATGAATTGTTGTGAACAATAAAACCTGCATAGAATAATTCCTTAATTGTTCACGTCGAGCAATTTCCTTCTTAGATTACTCGACAAATATGAAAGAGAAATTTGAGAAAAGGTGTGACCAGTAAAACACTACTTTTTCTGCATTAATTTTATAAGTGTGTTAAAATTAGTGTTTATCACATGCTAAATAATCATAAAAAGAGATACATTGCGGCACAACGTATGACATTAAAAAATAATATAGCATTAGACTTTATGTGAAGATATTAGACACATGACATGACATTACTAAGCAAGTTTTACTTCTTTATTCGGCTTGCTCATAAGGTCGTGTGAATGATCATAACAAATGACTTTTAACACATGGTCAACATTTTGGTTGACTGAGTTTTTTTTTTGTTTCAAAGGAGATAATCAGATATAAAGTAGAGAAAATTCGCTCCATAGACTAATTCGTTAAGCTAGGCTTTAAAAGAGTTTGTGTATACGTTTGCTTATTGGTGGTCTCATCTATTTCAAACGAATGAAGAAAGAAGAAGAAAAATAATTTAAACTGATAAGCTTTTCTTTTTTTTTCTTAAAATCTTATTTTTATTATCAATATCATTTTCAGATAAAAGATAGATAACACCTTAACAATATTTTTGTAAAATTAGTATCATATGTACGATGATAGGATTGTTTGGAACATTACTCATATCTCTATATGTATGTGTATGAATACATTTTTACCCGCAGCTAATGAAGTGAAATCACAAGTTTACTCAAATGTTTCGTTAAAAACTCTCATCAGTGTATTCTGAGACTTCATTGTGTAAAGTCGATGAGATTTATGATGCCTAAAAAGTAAATAATGTTGGTGATTTATGTGTGAAATCGATGCCTAAAATATAAAGTAACGCAAAAAAAATATAATAAATCGCGATTTAGAAAAAAAAAACAGAAGTTATGAAAAAAGATGTGATAAAATGAAAAATGAATTATAATGTCATTGTTAGAGACAAATCTCACAAAAATCTATTCAAATGCAGAGAATAATGCTGTGAATTAAAGTTTACTAACATATTCAAAAGGAAGAATAAGAAGCATACAAAAACAAGAAGTGAGAGAAAAGTTGAAGGCACCAATCGAAAACAAAAATAGTGAAAACATGAAAACAAGGATTTGTCAAAGAAACCTCAAACATTTTGGATTATTAGTTCTCACATCATTACTAGTATTACTATTTTTTATAACAAAATGTGATGCAAGTCAAGGTAAGCAGCATTTTCTACATCAAGTACCTTATAATTCTTCAATTTTTATTGAACAATACGTAAAAATCTATTTATTATAAAGTTTTTATATTAAAACAACTACTATAGTACTTCATTTGATTGAGACTTTATCTCGCTTATTGAATTATTTTTTCTAACTTGCAAATTGAATGTTAAAGATATGCCTGATTTCAACTTGTCATTGATGCTTAATTTCTCGAAAGAGATAAAACTATTTGTTTTAAAAATTTGCAAATTCAATTCGAAGTTTAATTAACATGTTAATACATCAAAAAGGTTAGTCAATGTGCTAGAAATGAACTTGTTTTCTTATGCCAACAATATAGGCTAAATGTGAGAGAGACATAGCAGTTGTACAATTGTACTCTACATGTTCAGTTTTAAAAAAATGAGGAGTGAAATATGAAAAGAATAAAGCAATGAAAACAAAATGAACGTAGCAGATGATAGAAATAAGGGAAAAAAGAAAAGAAAAAAATCAATCACTTCTGCTGGCAAACAAATGTTTTAAATTTTTCTAAAATGTTTAATTTAAATACTTTCATCTGCGAAAATGTCGAGCTCCTTGAAATTCAATTGAATGAAAATTTCTAAATTCGTTGAAAGAAAATAAATTTTAATCGAACCGAGCGGACTGATTGCTAAAAACAATATTATGCCGGAACTACATAATATTGTTTTTCCTTGCCTTGATCCCCATCCACTATATTCAATCCTATTATTTTATTGAAAAAATAATTAGCTTTAAAACGATTTCAAAGTAATTATTCGCACCACTGATTGTATATAGTTTGCAGTTATCAACAACGATGATGACACAGAGTATATTATTAAATCTTTTATACTTTATTTACTTTCCTTGATTCTCTTCTTTTATTCTGTACCATTCGTTGTAGGCGTTGTAGACGTACATATTGTATATATGTTTCCACCTTTTTGATTACTTCCTTTAAATAATTTTTACATTAACGATTTCCCGTAAAAGTAATGTTCTTAAATATTTATATACTTAAGTAAACCGCCGAAAAATTTGTATAGATATCTTTTTACGACATCATCTCATAATCTTTCATAGAATTAATATAATTTCTAGTAATGCATAAAATCTTTTTAAAATTAATGGAATTTACAGAATTTATTTGTAAATAATGCAAAATGAAAAGTGTAGTGTTAAGTAAAAAGTATGAGAATAACGTCATGCTTATCGAAAACGAATACGCACTGTAATTTTCATGTCATTTCTAAGTGATTTAAATCAAAATCAAAATCTTTTTGCAATGATTTTAAAAAGAGATTTTGATTTAAATCATTTTTCAAAGGGATTTTTTTTTTGGGGGGGATTTTGATTTAAATCTCTTGTATGAAAGATTTTTTTTGGGATTTTCCCTCGATATAAAGTTTTTGTAAGCAATTTCTCAAATTATTTTTCAAATCATCAGTTTACAGTTGCAGTTCTTCATAAGTAAGAATGCAGTTGATCCTTTTTCGGACAAAATCGTGCAACTGGATCTTTTAGATCCAATCATATGTTTAATAAAGGTTACAGCAACCAATGGTTCCGTGCTGTTTGACTTATAAGAAAACCAATTCGTGATTTTTAATCTTCTGTGCCTTGCTGCTTACATTTAAATAAAAATATAATATATGAAAAATGATTTAAATCAAAATCCCTTTTTAAAATCATTTTTCATTGTGATTTAAATCAAAATCAAAAATAAACTCTGCGATTTTGATTTAAATCGCAAAAAATCTTCACACCCTGTTTCTAAGAATGGTTATTCATTTTATTATATTGTTTATTGATAAGAAATTATGATCAATAATAATATTAGCAATTCTCGAAGTTATTAATGCATCAAACTGATAATGGCATATTTTGCAAAACCTCAATTTTGACCTAAGCATCAATTTGTTCAATAATGTAGACAAAGTGATGTTAATAATTTATTTCATTTTGAAAGACGAGTTGAGAAATCTTGAGATTTATTGTAATCGTACATTTATTGAAAAATTTATAACTAGGGTGACCATCTGCGTAGTTTTACAACGGACAGTCCTGTATTTCAAAACCCTGTCCTGTATAAATTTGAAAACTTTGTTCCAGGTCCTGTATTTTTTTCACGAAAATTTCCGTTAATTTTCGAATTTTACTCTATGTCCTGTATTTTTCGAAAAAATTTACCAAAAGTCCTGTATTTTCATGAAAATTAGATGGTAACCCTATTTATAACTTACATCATTTTGAATTGAAAATCGTTTATTTTTCTAGTACTGGAGTTCACATTAGAGCCGTCAGATACAGTTGTGCCTGAAGGAAGTTCGGTTTTACTGCAGTGCGCAGGCAAAACTAGCAAGAAAATTAGTCATAGTAAGGATGAGAAGTTGATACCTAATATAAGGTGGCGAGGTCCAGATAGGCAAGATATTGGGATCGATACATTTATAACCCAACTGAAAAATGGATCATTATATATAAGTTCTGTAAATGAAAATCGTGGTCTCACTGGCAATTATCAGTGCTTGCTGAGCGTAGACGGGTTAGGAACAATTGTCAGTAGAACAGCTCGTTTATCAATAGCTTGTAAGTTATTTTACATTAATCTCATCAAACGAAAAATTTTCTTATCTTCACTTTATATCACATATTATGACATATGAATTTATTTTTTCATGTTTTAATTCGTTATCATAAAAATCATCACCACGTTATGCAGCACAACCTGAAGTGAATCAAGAATCGAATGAAGTCTATCTTGATCTCGGCAATATAGCTTATATAAAATGCATGACTAGTCAAACGTTGATGAATATCAATGACAAAAATTTCAAAGTACAATGGTTTAAGGATGATGTACCATTTAAAATTGATAGTACTCGAATGTCAATTCTTCCCACGGCGTCACTAGAAATTGATGAAATTACTTTTGATGATCGTGGAACATATCAATGCAATGTTTCGTATGAAAGTTATTCACGTGCGAGTAGTAAAACAAATTTAAACGTAAAATCACCTTCTGGAAATCCTGTAGCATTTGCAGCTCCAAGCTTTGTTATTCGTCCTGTGACACAGACTGTGAAAGAGGGTGAACAAGTAATATTGGAGTGTGCAGCTAATGGAAATCCTAAACCTAAAGTCATATGGCTTCGGAATGGCATAGATATTGATTTTAATGATTTGGATTCAAGATTTAGAATGATTGGAACAGGCTCATTACAAATTGCTTCTGTTGAAGATAATGATAGTGGTGATTATCAATGTCGTGCTAGCAACTCGGTCGATTCAATGGACGCAATTGCAACGTTAAATGTTCAAATTCCACCTAAATTCGTTCAAGAACCGCAAGATAAAGTCGCAAATGAAAAGGATGAATTAGAGCTTGCATGTTTAATCTATGGTAAACCGACACCAACAATTCAGTGGTTGAAAAATGGAGACTTGATAACACCAAACGATTACATGCAAATTTCTGGAGGGTACGTTTACTTTAAATCTATTACTAATTACTACACCATGCTTATTCTTCTTACATTGTCTTCTTTTTACCCTTTTCTCATTCTTCATCCAATTTAGGCATAATTTAAAAATTCTTGGTCTAATAAGTTCCGACTCAGGGATGTTTCAATGTATTGGAACAAATTCTGCTGGTAGTGTTCAAGCATCAGCGTATTTAGAAGTCCTTCAAATAGGTAAGGTTTTCCATTAATTATCATTAAAGCAATTGTGAATAGGAAAAGATACTTTTAGGCTTTAATTTTCATCATACACATATTTTTTTTTACTCATGATCTTATGTTAATAATTTTTTATTTCATTTCTTTATTCTATTTTCATCATTTTATTTCGTTGTGGTTGATTGTGTGCTTATGATTATCATCAATTTTTGGTTTGGATGATTATGTTTTTGGAATTTGTAAATATGTCATTGATAAAAAAGGATCTAAAAAGCAGAAAAATAAGAAATTTACATCTACAACCTCAACGACAACGAAAAAACCCACTAAGCCTGATTTGAAAAGCATGATTAAAATTTCAAAAAACTCTAATGAACCTGACTCATTATTGCAAAAATCTAGTAGCAATAAGAATTTATCTAAACAAGCTCTTGATAGTCTTTTGTCAAGAAATAAAAATTCACAATTTTCGCCGAGTAAATTTCAAGATTCAAATGATTATCTAGAAAGATTGAATGACAATCAACAATCAGATGTTGTGGATGACGAATATGACGACGATGAAGAAGGTTCAATTCATCCGATTGATATTGACACAGATCCAAATAAACTTTTGCATGCACTGACAAATCCTAACAGAAATCACGATTCTGATATTTCTCATTTCTCTAATTCGCAAATGAAAATTGTCACTCGAAAACCACCGTTCCTTCAAACTGTAGAAGACAATAAACATATTTCAGTACCATTGCCGGGTCCACCAAGAGCAGTTCAAGCCCAAATTATTAAGCCTCGTTTTGTTACTCTCAACTGGTTAGAGCCGGTAAAAAATCCAGATGAAGTTGTATCCTATACTGTTTACTACAAAATGAATGCACCTGATGCAAGGTCTGTTTGTTTTATATTTCAATATTTTCAAATTTAATTGAATAAATGAATGAATCATTTTAGAGAACGAAAAATTAAAACAAACTCACGCGACGAGCAAGAAGCTAACATTCAGTCATTACTGCCAGGAAAAACGTATCATTTTCGAGTTGTTGCTAATAGTAATCATGGCCCAGGAGAGTCATCAGAAATTTTGGAGATTTCAACACAGTCCGAAGAAAATATGGCTGGACCACCAGAAAATTTTAAAGGAGCTGCATTCTCACATGATGAAATATTTTTACAATGGGATCCACCACACGAAACAAATGGCCTGATTTCAAACTATCGAGTCTATTTTGCAGAGGGTGAAAATGGAGAAGATCAATTTTATGATACGAAATCAAATGAGTTCATGCTCACTCAGCTACGTAGTTATTGCGAATATACAATATCGGTAGTAGCTTTCAATCAAAATGGGATGGGCAATCCTTCACAAGAAATATTAGTAAAAACATTCTCGAACACACCTTCTGAAGAACCATCGAATATTACAGTAGAAGCAACGAGTTCAACCGTAAGTGAAAATAAATTAATGAAAATTTACATAAGTGATTTTAATCTAGACATATGCATATTCATGTTAATCTATCTTTGTGACTACAGTCTATTCGTAACCTTTATAATTCTTTTTACATCTTTCTACAATAGTCGATTAGTATACGATGGGAAGCACCACCTCCTGAGCATAGAAATGGTCCGATTACAGGATATAAAATGAAATATAGAAAGGTTAAAAAGTCGGGCATACAGACGGAAACAACCCCCGGAAATGTGAGATTTTATGAATTAACAAATCTGGAAAAAATGTCTGCATATCAGATTAAAATAGCAGCAATGACAATTAATGGAACGGGGCCATTTAGTGATTGGATAAATGTTGAAACATATGCAAATGATTTAGATGAAACTCAAGTTCCTGGTGAACCAGGATGGATTCGAACAAAACCGGCTGCAAATAGCATCATTGTATCTTGGGGCCCTCCAGTTCAACAAGATGTAAAAGTTAGAGCATACATTTTAGGATGGGGAAAAGGAATTCCAGATGAAGCTACACACGAATTAGATGAAAATAGTCGAGCATTTGAAATTCGAGATTTAGAAGCAAACAGTGAATATGTGATAGCATTAAGAGCACGTAATAATGTAGGAGACGGGCCACCGAAATATGATACGACTAGAACACGAGAAGATTTAATCAACGAGCCATCACAGCCATTGGAAGTTCCAGTAGGCTTACGAGCGATTCCAATGAGTGGATCAACAATTGTTGTATATTGGACAGATACAACTTTAGGAAAGAGTCAACATGTTACCGATAATCGTTATTATACAGTCAGATATAGTTCAACAGGATCGACCCGTTATCGATATCACAATACAACAGACTTGAATTGTATGATTCTTGAACTTAAGCCAAATACTCAATACGAATTTGAAGTGAAAGTAGTGAAAGGAAGGCGTGAATCTTCATGGTCTATGTCTGTACTTAATACAACGCTTCCAGCTTCTCCAGCATTGCCACCGAGGGACTTAAAAGTGACACTTTTAGATGACAAATCACCTCTAAGTGTTCACTTATCATGGACTCCACCAAAACATTCACAACCTATAACAAATTATGTTATTTTGTATACAACAGATTCTGAGAAACGTGATCGTGAATGGAGTTATGAAAATGTTCCGACAGACAAAACGTCTGTAATTATAAATCAATTAACACCACATACAACCTACTTTTTTAAAGTGCAATCAAAACATGGAAAGATTTTAGGGCCATTTTCAGCAATGGTTTCTGTACGAACTGGTGCACAAGCAATGATTTCAAATGAAGCTATTCCTGCCTCGAATATTTTACTCACAACTGAAATTTTCTATGCACTAATTGGTGGAATAATTTTACTAGTATTCATTATCGTTGTAGTTGTTGCAATGATATTTTGCCGACGAAAGCCGCAAGAAACTCCCGAGCATAAAAAAAGTTACCAGAAAAATCAAGCAGGACAAATTAAACCACCTGATTTATGGATACATCATGATCAAATGGAGTTGAAAAATATAGAAAAAACTACTTTACATCCAACAACGCCCGGTTGCAGTGATGGTGCGTCTAGTAGTGGAGCAATGACTTTGCCACGATCTGTTGGTCATGACTTTGAAACAGATACACAGTTCCCCGCTCATGTTACAAACTCATTAGATAAGCGAACTTATGTTGCAGGCTATATGAGTAAGTTTTAATATTATATTTTTTATCCTTCACACAATTAATTTCTACGTACATTCTAAATTATTAATTAAGCGAACTCAATGAGTTCATCAGCATCAGACCGTCCACAATATCCAAGAACTCAATATAATATTCAACGACCTCCACACATTTCCACAATGGATCCTTCTCTTTCACAACAAAACATCCAAGGAGGCTCAATGATTCATTCTCCTGAAAATCCATATGCATATGATATAGTCCCACCAAATTATAGGTAAATTCTTATTGCTAGTTAAAAAGGTAAAATCAAAAATCAACATAATTTTAAATTTGTTAATAGCAATCCAAACATGGCATTTCCTGGAATTCCTGTAGAAGTTGCAAAACATAGAGGTCATCCATTAAAAAGTTTCAGCATTCCAGCACCACCATCAAATACTCCACTTATTCCAAACTCTAAACCAGGTAATATCCTAAAAGATTACAATTTTTTTTTTAAATAAAGAGGTATTAAAACTTTACAGTTCCTTCAGTAACAATAAGACCACAAAACTCATCCCCATATAAAAAATCAGCAACAACGACACCATCATCATCGAATAGACTTCAAACAGGTTTGCTAGTGCCACATTCCTCTGATGAGATTCAAGCACTTCGGCCTTCAACATCGACCGAAGAATTAAATCAAGAAATGGCGAATTTGGAAGGCTTAATGAAAGATCTCAGTGCAATTACAGCAAGTGAATTTGAATGTTAGAATTGTGAGAGAGCTCAGCTCTAAATGTAAAACTAAAGTAAAATTAAAAAGTGTCTGTCTCTCTGTCTCTTTCTCACTCCTCAAAATTGATTTTTTTTTCTTTAATAAGAAGAAGCACGAGGAGAAGAAAATGTACCATGTACAATATGTATCGTATGAATGAATGAACAGAAATGATTATTACTTTATAAAGATAATTTATGTACTTTTGTGTTATAAATATTACATACATAATATAATATGTATTTATTCGAGGAGAAAAGTGTCTAATCCCAAAAAAAAGAAATTAATTAAAATATGTACTGACTTTGAGTAAAAATGCATTTTTAGATTGTAAAAAAAATAATAAAACACAACCGAAGAAACCCCAAAAAGGAATAAGAAAAGAAAAAAAAAATGGGATCGAATAATTTTAGAACAAACTTTTTTAATAACACCATCCATTACAATTTAAACGATGAAAACCGTTACATCACTTTTATATGTGCATTTAACTTCAATTTTTTTCATTATTATCTAATTTAAAGAAAAAGTGAACAATGAAGAATGACTATTTTTAGTGTAGACAAGTCAGAAACCTTTGTACCAATATTAAAAAAATATGAGAACTGAAATTGATGTGTTCTGTATGATCAAGCTAAACAGGAACCATTTAAATGCATCCATATGAATGTAAATAACGCATCCATTAATCACATAAACAATTTCAATTTAACAACAGTAAAGTATTGAGCATTGCAAAGCTTCTGAGTCTGCGGTTGACCTTTTCTGTTTTCAAAAAATGGTTGACTCTACTTTATAGCATAAAATTTCTGTGCTGATCATATTCAATGTCAGTTCCATATAAGCTGTAAATAAATAATTAAGTGAAAATAATCAAAACATAAACACCGATATTGAAAAATGTACGCCCTAGAATTGGAGATAGTTGAAATTTTCATGGATATTCGCTAGGATTTTTAAGAAATCGATTAAAACGATGAAAATCGTAATTTTCATTTTAAGTTCTTTTACATGAAATTGTGATTTTTAATAAGAAAATAAGATAGCTTAATTTATTAAAAAAAAACTAATTTACAGACATGAAATCAAAAAGAATTTTATTCTCTTATATTTTTTTTGCTTTTTTCATACAATGCTTAGTTTAAGACTTACTTTCCATTCAACCAAATTTGCCAATACAAAAAAAAAACCTTTTAAAATTTAATTTTAGTGCCATTACATTCTGTTCTAAGTCTAATAAATTTCATCTTTAATATGTCATACGATTTAAAAACTTTTCCTTCTTCTTCTATCAACTTTACAGATTCATAAAGAGCCTATATGTCATTAATAAAATTAAAATGATTTTTTATGAAAGCAAAAAAAAAGAACAAATAAAAATTTTTTAAAACGAAAAAAGTCAAATTTGTTATCTTAATTATGTTTTTCTTAAACTTAGAAATGATACTTAATTGCTAGTGATGATTTTTTCAGAATGGACCTTGAATAATATTCGAACGAAGAAACTCATGGACGGTGTCAAGAACTTCAATTTTCTGCATATTTGTAAATAAAAGCTTTAACAGTTCTTGCATTTCCTTTTGATCATTTATAATCTCATGTGTAGCTGCTTTCTTAATTAGGTGATGCATTATTGCTCGATTCATTCTATTGACCTCAAAATCAATATCGTCATCGTCACAAACATTAACTTTGTGAATTAAATAATTTATAATACTTGGAAGAGTAAGTTTTTGGCAGACTGTTGACACTGAATTTTCTTGGATAGAATGTGATAAAAAATCTTTCGAATGTTTCTCAGAAAGTGTTTCAAGCACTTTGTGTTTAATTCTATCATTTAGTTTCATCATTTTCGACAGATGATTGATAACGTTTGAGGTTTTATCGAGTTGTTCAGCTGTCATTTTGGTGTGTTTTGGATCTTGTGTCGGCAGAAATTCGTTCAATATTTCATTTTCATCAACCTTTGTCAATACACATTGAATAAACTCTTTACGTTTATGTGATTCATCATGATTCTCTAAAAGCTTCTCAAAAATCTCATTGAATGTAAAATTTTTTGCAACATAATCCATTAAATCATCCTTATCCTTAAAACTAAGTGTTTTATCATCCTCAAATATTTGTTGCTCGGTAATGTCCTCGTTAATATCCTCCGATGATGTTGTAATGTCAGTGTTTTGGGGATCTTCATCGTAATCATGATCCATAGAGATTGTATCAACTTCGAGTTGTTCAATTTTAATTTTAATTTCTTCCTGTATTATTACTTGCTTCTTATCGTCGACAGTTACGATCAGATTTTCCTTATTTTCACAGTCCCCTTCATCTTGTTCGATATTTTCTTCATATGTTAAGCATCGAATTAAACTGTTTGATTTTTGTCGCTCTTCTTCTTCAGTTATTAGATATTCTTTTGTCGTTGAAACAGGATCATTAAAACTTACTCGTTTCCTCTATAAGTAATACGAAAGCAATTAATTAAGGTTTATGTCCAATGTTATTCTTATTCGACTTACTTTGGCTGAATTATTTTGAGATGGTGAGTCTGGTGTTTCCATAACTGCATTTTTCCTCTTACTCAGTATTCCAGAAGAAGGACTTGCCATTAAATTTGGAGTTTCATTCGAAAATTTCAAATATTCTGAAGATTTTTTTTCGGATCTTTCCATTAAATCTTTTCCAACATTTTTACACAATGATAAACGTTTTGTTAATTGCGGCGAGACATTAATTTTATTACTTTTTACTAGATCTAGGAATCTAGCTCCTCTCGAATGACTTTTAATGATCGGAGACACTAAATTTAATTGTATTTTCTTCTGACTACTATCCATTGTTGAAAACTCGCTTAAAATTGGTGATTTCATAGCTACTTGCATTATGTTCGACTATACTGCTACTTATAAGCTTTTTTAACGCACCAAACAACGATAAACACTAATTAATTAATAAAATAATTTTCAAGCCTATTAAATTGAGCGGGAAAATAATTTTGTAGCTTAACACCCCTAAACGGTAATTAAAATTCAAAATTTTTTCTGTAACGGATTTATGCTAGATGTGAATGCCGGGTTTGGTAACATAAATTTCAATCATAGCCTATTTTTTTTACTGGTCAGTGGGATGAAAAAAGTTTTCAAAATTATAAAAAAAGGCTTTATTAGACGGGTAGCGGCATGTTAAAAAATACTTTATAAAACACCTTTTAAAAAAACAACGTTTTTACACGTGGACCAAAAAGTAGAAAATAACTTTTATATTGGGTTCAAAGGATATTGGTTTGAAAATTTGAGATTAATTTGAAAGTTTCAAACTTAAGTCATGACCATACATGAATAAGTTTGTAAACTAGAATCAAACCATTGAAACTCTTATCTTAATCACTATGGGATAAAATCGAAATTTTTTTCCAAAAATTTTTTTATTGGCTTATTTGAAAGTTCTTTATCCAAGAAATCAGAATCTATTTTAATGGCCCAAAGTGCAGCAGTGCTGGAGATATAGCCCGAAATGTATTTTGATGACCTTCAATAGTTAATATTTTCAATTTATCAGAACTTTTTCTTGTCTCAACCAATTTTCTTGAAATTTTTTTTAAATAAAAATTGACGAAACTTCAAATGTTAGTAATACGACACACTTTTTTTGAGTATGTCGATTTCTGATGCTTTTAAATGTTTTTCCTTTTTCATTAAATTGTATCCCTTTACTAGATCTACAAGAAAAATATCCCTTTCAAGGTTTAAAATTATATTTATGCATCAAAAAATTGAGATTTTTTCAAAAAATATACGGTTTTTAACTATGTTTTGACTTCAATTGACTATAAATGCATATTCCAAGTGAGTGGAGAGACAAATTTTTACTGTTTTATATAGTCCTCACTTGTATCTTTCTAAAACGGTGAAAACCTGGAAAAAAGTTCTGCCAAATTTTCAACTTTGAACCATTTGAAACATGTCATCTGCATGCACCTCAAAAATCTTTTTTAACTTTTTTCATCAAAATCATGCCCAAACTTGATAAAACTTTCAGGAATGTTAGAAAAATGTTTTCCATTTTCAATGAGATGTAATTGACTTTAAATACACTATATGCTTAACAAAAAGTATTTGTATTATCTTTTATGATGAGCTGCTTAAATTACCTTTCCAACGATATATAATATGTTATATATGAGTACAATGTCCCTGAATAATGTTCGAGGTGTGTGAAGAACCATACTTAACATTTTTGCTCAAAACTATATAAAATCTTAATTATATATTATAAATTTGGTACTGTTGGAAAGATAAAAGTACTGGCTATAAGATAAAATCAAATTTTGAGTTGAGAATTTACCCAGGGCACTGCTAGCGTATGGGAAACATGTCGTAGTTTGACCAGCCCTATCAGATACAGTAAAAATAAAAATTTTATTTTTTCTCATGTTTTCTAAAGAAACATACTTAAACTATCTGAAAAACACCAAAAAAAATACTGACCGGTAAATATTTGCAGTAAATGAGCTCATAGAAAGTATCATAGAATTTTCTAAATTGTATTAGATCATCTAAAAATCAAATTTCAGATAGTTTCAGTATGTTTCTGTAGAAAACATGAAAAATAATCAGAGTGGGGGAGTTTTTTGTGATTTAAATCAAAATCACAAATCAAATTGTGATTTTTGATTTAAATCTCAATGAAGAATGATTTGAAAAATGATTTCTGATTTAATTCATTTTACTCAAGTGATTTTTTTTTTTGATTTATGATTTAAATCATTTTGTATGAAAGATTTATTTGTGCTTTATGATTTAAATCACATTGTATGGGGATTTTTTTTGGGATTTTAAATCACTTGAAGGTGAAAATATGTTTGGGAATTTTCAGAAGATTATTATTAAAAATTAAGTCATTAAAGAATGTGTCGATTTCTCAAAAAAAATTTGTTGCAGGGTGTGATTCCTTGATTAAAAAAAACAAAAAAAATTTTTTGGGATGTAAAGGAACTTGGCAGTTCCAGTGTCTAATCATACCTCTGGCTAAGAAATAAAAACGTATACCTCTTTGACAATGAAAACTTATCAAAAAATTCTTTAATGGGACTGGAAGTGACTAGTTCCTCATATGATGTTAGATCCATTCATGCTTTACCATTTAGAGCTATACCAACATCTGCATACTACAATATCCAAAAGCCAGAAAGGATATCCATGATTAATGATTAATGTTTTTTAATAATCTTCTGAAAATTCCCAAACATATTTTCACCTTAAAGTGATTTAAAATCCCAAAAAAAATCCCCATACAATGTGATTTAAATCATAAATCACAAATAAATCTTTCATACAAAATGAATTAAATCATAAATCACAAATAAATCTTTCATACAAAATGAATTAAATCATAAATCACAAATAAATCTTTCATACAAAATGATTTAAATCATAAATCAAAAAAAAATCACTTGAGTAAAATGAATTAAATCAGAAATCATTTTTCAAATCATTCTTCATTGAGATTTAAATCAAAAATCACAATTTGATTTGTGATTTTGATTTAAATCACAAAAAACTCCCCCACTCTGATTATTTTTCATGTTTTCTACAGAAATATACTGAAACTATCTGAAATTTGATTTTTAGATGATCTAATACAATTTAGAAAATTCTATGATACTTTCTATGAGCTCATTTACTGCAAATATTTACCGGTCAGTATTTTTTTTGGTGTTTTTCAGATAGTTTAAGTATGTTTCTTTAGAAAACATGAGAAAAAATAAAATTTTTATTTTTACTGTATCTGATAGGGCTGGTCAAACTACGACATGTTTCCCATACGCTAGCAGTGCCCTGGGTAAATTCTCAACTCAAAATTTGATTTTATCTTATAGCCAGTACTTTTATCTTTCCAACAGTACCAAATTTATAATATATAATTAAGATTTTATATAGTTTTGAGCAAAAATGTTAAGTATGGTTCTTCACACACCTCGAACATTATTCAGGGACATTGTACTCATATATAACATATTATATATCGTTGGAAAGGTAATTTAAGCAGCTCATCATAAAAGATAATACAAATATTTTTTGTTAAGCATATAGTGTATTTAAAGTCAATTACATCTCATTGAAAATGGAAAACATTTTTCTAACATTCCTGAAAGTTTTATTAAGTTTGGGCATGATTTTGATGAAAAAAGTTAAAAAAGATTTTTGAGGTGCATGCAGATGACATGTTTCAAATGGTTCAAAGTTGAAAATTTGGCAGAACTTTTTTCCAGGTTTTCACCGTTTTAGAAAGATACAAGTGAGGACTATATAAAACAGTAAAAATTTGTCTCTCCACTCACTTGGAATATGCAGTTATAGTCAATTGAAGTCAAAACATAGTTAAAAACCGTATATTTTTTGAAAAAATCTCAATTTTTTGATGCATAAATATAATTTTAAACCTTGAAAGGGATATTTTTCTTGTAGATCTAGTAAAGGGATACAATTTAATGAAAAAGGAAAAACATTTAAAAGCATCAGAAATCCACGAACTCAAAAAAAGTGTGTCGTACAACTAACATTTAAAGTTTCGTCAACTTATATTTAAAAAAAATTTCAAGAAAATTGGTTGAGACAAGAAAAAGTTCTGATAAATTGAAAATATTAACTATTGAAGGTCATCAAAATACATTTCGGGCTATATCTCCAGCACTACTGCACTTTGGGTCATTAAAATAGATTCTGATTTCTTGGATAAAGAACTTTCAAATAAGCCAATAAAAAAATTTTTGGAAAAAAATTTCGATTTTATCCCATAGTGATAATCGATAAAGACTTTCTATGGTTAAATTTTAGTTTACAAACTTATGCTGTGCGATAGCAATAGAAAATAGCCTACTATGATCGAAACCAAAAATGCTTAAAATTGTATTTTAAAACATATCAAGGTATTATAAATGATAACAAATGCTAATTTAGATATAAAATCGACATTTTTTTGAAAATAACCAACAATGATCAAAACCAAAAATGCTAATTTAGATATAAAATCGATATTTTTTTTAAAATAGCCTACTATGATCGAAACCAAAAATGCTTAAAATTGTATTTTAAAACATATCAAGGTATTATAAAAGATAACAAATGCTAATTTAGATATAAAATCGATATTTTTTTGAAAATAGCCTACTAAGATCGAAACCAAAAATGCTTTAAATTTCATTTTAAAACATATCAAGGTATTATAAATGATAACAAATGCTAATTTAAATATAAAATCGATATTTTTTTGAAAATAGCCTACTATAATCAAAACCAAAAATGCTTTAAATTGCATTTTAAAACATACCTAGATATTATAAATGATAATGAATGCTAATTTAGATATAAAATCGATATTTTTTTGAAAATAGCCTACTATGATCAAAACCAAAAATGCTTTAAATTGCATTTTAAAACATATCTAGGTATTATAAATGATAAAGAATGCTAAGTTAGATATAAAATCGATATTTTTTTGAAAATAGCCGACTAAGATCGAAACCAAAAATGCTTTAAATTTCATTTTAAAACATATATAGGCAATATAAATGATAAAGAATGTTTATATAGATATAAAATCGATATTTTTTTGAAAATAGCCTACTATGATCGAAACCAAAAATGCTTTAAATTTCATTTTAAAACACATCAAGGTATTATAAATGATAACAAATGCTAATTTAAATATAAAATCGATATTTTTTTGAAAATAGCCTACTATAATCAAAACCAAAAATGCTTTAAATTGCATTTTAAAACATACCTAGGTATTATAAATGATAATGAATGCTAATTTAGATATAAAATCGATATTTTTTTGAAAAAAGCCTTCAATGATCAAAACCAAAAATGCTTTGAAT